GCGCCCCCGCCCGAGCTCAGCCCCTTGGCGGACCGTCCACGTCGCCACCGTCCTCCCCCGTCTCAAGAAAGAAAAAAAAGTTCAAAGAGACATGGAAAGAGCAAAAGAAAAACACCACTAATTGACTTTCCCGGGCCCCCACCGTGTGCGCGGGGCGACATCCCTCCTTGTCTCAAACTTGACTGATGGTGTGAACCGCTGTGGAGGCCCACGAGTTCCGTTTTGCAATTAAATCGTTTATGAAACTGGAACACAGCACTTCACTTACTCACTAAAAATATCAAGTTTTTAAAAACACTTGCGCGTGTTAGTATTTTTCCTTGTCTGCAGTCAAAACACCCAAAAGTGAAAGGCTTAAAGCGCACGCCCCAAACGCACGTTGCATTTTCTTTACAACTTGCTGCGCCCCTTCCTACTCGCGCATCTGAGTGGTTTTGAAAATGCCTCCGTTAACAAACGCACTGAGCGTGTTTCCTTCACGCCCAGAAACGCAGGACGAAACGCCTGCGGGCTGGAGAGTGACCACACAGCGAGGCAAATTCAATTACAATTAAGCAGAATGATCATGGCTTTTTCCTGCCACGCATGTACTTTAAGTATAATTCCTTATCTGATACATACGAGATAGATTCACAGTACTTTCTGTATGTCCACAAAGCAGCAGGGAAGACTTCCCTTCAAAGAGAAGGGAAGACTCTCTCATTTAAAAAAATCTGACAGTGATCAAGAATCCACTTTCTCCCCTCCCCCCTCGTCCCTCCCCAATCCGAAGAGTAAACACCAGGCGGGGCGGGCGGAGGGCGAGGGCCTGCCTGCGGGAGCCTTTGGCAGGCACCGTCTTCGGGCTTCTCAGGAGTCCCCTGCGCTGAGGCCGCTCTCAGAATTGTTTTGAGAAACTGAGCCGGGTTCTGAGTCGGAGCCAAATCGCTGAGCATGGAAGGTCGGCGCAAATCCGGGCGCCCGCGTGGGTCGGCGGGTGACTGATGCTCTGGGCAGGCGCTTCCTCAGAGCAGACCTGACCTGGCGGGAGAACTTGTTTTTCTTATTGGAGAATGTACCTTTACATGTTCAAGTAGTAATGTGTCTGTTTTAACACAGATATGTTCTATGGAGGGACCAACACGTGAAGTTTTCAAGTCTTTGAAGATTAACTGGCTTTTGATATAATTAGCCGGCTCTTTGGAGTGAACATTCTTTAATAGTAGAAAATGTTTGCAGGCAGATACTTCTGGAAATACTACATGACAATCATCACCAAAAAACAAGAGAGGAAAAGCACCCAGAAGAAGACTAGTAGAGTTCATTTTATAGAAGATTTAAGAAAATGATCTTAATGTCCCAAAGCATCCAATTTTGCAAAAAAACATTTTAAGGAAAAGATGCTTACGCACGGCACCTCTTCAGATATTTATTAAAACACATATGATTCGAGTTTTAAATGATTCCACTGAGCTGAACAGCCTTCAGTAAATTTAAAGATTGTTCATAGAAGAATTGAGGCTCTTTCTTCTCTCAAAATGGTTTCATTATAAGAGTGCAATAAGTATTAGGACAAGTGGACTAGAACGGAGTCTTTCTCTGTACTGTGAGGATGTTGAATAGTACTTGTCAATAAAGCGACTCCTATTGTAATCTTAGGGGACCCTTGCCTCTGACCAGGAATGACTGGCTCAGAGATACTGACCTCATTAAAATATGAATGGGGAAGGCCGCCATCATTGTATCAGGGGAAACAGGCTCCACTCTCTGGCCCAGTTTTCTTGTAGCCATGGCTTTTACACATGGATTCGCTTGGTGTAAGTTATAAATGTAACAATGATCCGTCATCATTTCATTGCTTTCTCAGAGCACCCTGGTTCAAGAAGATTCTAACTTTTCTCATTTTGAAACCCATCTACTGCTCAAAAATCATATTTAGTATACGCAGTGGTTTTTTTTGTTTTGTTTTGTTACCATTTAGGCTTCTTCTGACCATGTGCCTGTTACATGTGTGATGACAAGGGGGTGGGAGGAGGGCTCCCATCCCAACTTAAAAACGGAAACAAGTAGTTGAAAGTTTTGACTTCCTTCTCCCGAGGAACCTGGAGTTAGGGAAGGTCCCAGACTGCGACAGGCTCCCTGCTCCTCACCACGTCTCTGTTCAGTCAGCACCAGGCAGCAAGCAGTGTGTCACCGAGCACCAGTGGGCCTGGGAGAGGTCCGCGTAGAGCAGCCGCCTGTCTCAAAGCAGCCTGCAGCCTCAGGTAAATCTCACCTTCAGCGTCCCTTTGGAGTGTCCTTCAGGGAGGAAACCAGTACATCAGCTGCCAAGTGACCGAGAATTAATGTCACACAGCGGCAAAGATTTTCTTTCTAGAGGTTTAGTTAATGTAGAAAATTTGATTGCATTATAGGAAGTATTGCATCTAGTTTAATCACTGACTTTTCATCCATAAAAATATTGAAATCACTCCTAATATTAGTTAAAAGTCAATATTTAGAAGTGAAAATTCACCCCCAGACTCGCTCTAGACTGCATGGGGAAGCGTGAATTCAGAAACTCTTGTAAGTTGATGAGATACATAATTAGCTTTTATGTTAATTGACTGCTATGAGTTTGTTGTATGACACTTCTTCATATAATATGCAAATAGCACTGGCTGTTTAGTTTTATTAGACAATATGATTACAAATCCAAAGGTGCTCATTTCCATGAGGAATAATAAAGGTTGATAATTTTCCAGTGTTCTGTATATCAGAAAAAACGATTGCTTCTGGACTTAATCAATAAGAGATTTTAAGTAGCCTTTGTTTCGCCAAAGCAGCCAACATAGAACAGAATTAATATTGTTTTTTTTCAGTTACAAAATTTGATGTTAAAACAGGTGACTTTGTGCAATCAATTAAATCTTGTGGACAAAAATACAAAGATTTCAGCACAATTTACCACACAATAAATGTATAAAAATAATGTAAAATGTTGCCTCCTTTAATTTGAATAATGAAAAAAGCTTAAAATAAAATATTTTACAAGTGTTTCCTGTTCTTACTTATGGACGCATTATGTCAGTAACATTAAGTGGATGCTCAGGATGTGAGAAAAATAGAAATAATAATAAATCAATATGATTTTGGAGGAAAATTTTCCCAGAATTCAAACATATTAAAGCTTCAATTACATTTTTTATTTTTCAACTTAACAGTAATGAACAGAATCCCCATTAATGAACTTCAAATGGGGGGTGGGGGTGTCATCGAACTCATTTGCTTTTTTCCTAAAGTTAAAAAAACAACAACTTTATTTTCATTATCGAATACAAAATTAGCACTGCCACATGGTTTCTCATTTTAAAAAGCTTTCTGTCAGTCTCCCCCAAAACCTTTCATTTTCAAACATTTTCTGGAAAATGAAAAGAAATGCACCCATCCACGTGAAAAATGTCACCGTTTGTCACCTTTGTTAAAATCACTCTGAGCAGAGACTCTGTTTCTGAGCCTTGTCCGCACTGCATTCCCGGGGAGGACTTTGCAGATTCAAAAATAATATTAATAGAAAAAAGTGAGGGTGCTTAAGAGGGCAGAGGCAGCATGAGTGTAGTAAACAATTTTTTTCCTTCAATAAATATTACTGAACTCCACCAATATATCAGACAAATAACACCTCTCTAATTCATGCTTTTGAAAGTGTCCTCTTCTGTGATTTTGAATGCATATTAAAACAAAATACTAGAAAAAGCCACTGTGGCTGCGAGAGGCTCAGTAGACACTCATTGATGATAATACGACTCCTTGTCTATCCATTGAGCTGCAGATCACAGATGTATAAAACCTGTGTCCTGATTTTTCGATTTTCTGTCCCCAAAAGCTGCGTGTTTTTTCACCATCGTGTTACAAAAACAAAACCCTAGATGAGTGATCATGTTTTGAACCACTTCTGCAGAGCACTCTCCCCAAATAGAAGAGGAGAAGCCACATTTGGGGGAGCTGTTGTGGAGTTTTTCAGCGTCACCATCTGTGCACTTGTGGG